GCAGAGAGAAATTAAAAAAGCAAAAAGATTGGCTACAGCATCTAGTCCAGCCGCTTTAGTACAGAAACATGCTTTGTCTGGACAAGTTTTAATGACCCCAATCTCTGGCATCTGTCTCTTGCCTGGGGATGTTTTTGTGGCATAGCTGTTCCTCCTCTTTCCCCTACTAATGCATTTTTGGTGTCAGTCTCCTTTCTCCTCTTCCTTGGCACTTGAGAGGTTTCTGAGAAGACTGTCAGTTGTTATTTCTTCTTGCTGCTGAGGGAGGGAGATGAAGGAAGGCAATGTCATTTTGGAGACAGGGAAATGGAGAGATGACAAGGTGGGAAGAAGTGTGAATGCTGCACCTTGATTTAATATTTCTGGACTCTGTGTACTACAATAACCTCTTTCTGACAGAAGGCAAACACTGAGATACCTGACATTTGCCAAGAGTCCCTCCCCAAACCCGTGTGAGGGGTGCACTGATACACTATAATTTTGATGTTCTAATAGCTGTGACTTTTCCTAAAGGGACATAGTTTTTTGTGTAAAATAAGCTCCTTGGCACTGTGAGGGCAGTTTTTCTCTGTATATCATCCATGGCTTTTTTTTCCTCGATGCCATGTTGTATCACAGTCTGAAACAAAAACTAGCTACTGCTTTTGTTTCTTATTATTTAAACTGATAGATGTCTGGAACAGTATATCTAGGCTAGTGAAAAGTAAATCACCCACTCAGATTTATTTGTAATGCAAAGACATTATTTAAACTCCCCTCCCAATTTAATCCTGTAGTTCTCTCATCTAAAACCATACAGTACATGAATGGAAAGTCAGTTGCTCACAAATCCATTGCTGTGCAGTCTTTTACATAAACAAAGTCATAAGGATAAGCAAATGCCTTCTAATTAGCAGTGTGTTTTGTGGTTCCGTACATTCCAAGCTGTAATAGACAGCTATGGTGCCTAAAATAATCCCAGAGAAAAAAATGTGTGTGCCACGAAGATAGGGGTGGGAGGGAGAGGAGGAGGGAAAATCTGTTGTCTGTGTTCTTGGAAGCCTTTTCTATCTCCATTTGGATACTGTCAGCTTCTTTTACACAAACATTACAGCATCCAAGGGGAATTAGAAATGCTAACCCATGACCACAGCATCAGATCCTGGGTTTGTCAGGAGAAAGCAATGCAAAAGCAAGATCTTGGAGCCACTGCTTTCATTTTGGTTTTAGCATGCTGATAAATGCCTCCCATCGCTGGAAGGAGGTGAGGCTGGCTGTCTAGGTGGAATACAGGACATTTAAAAATCTTACCTCATAGACGTGAAGTGGTATTTGGATTTGTAAAAGTGCTGTGTAAGTCCTAAGCTACAGTGATTGTCTCTTTTGGGATGTCTCTGAAGTTACACAACAATTTCCCTTTCATACCAGTCTTTTGGGAAATGGCCAGGGACCACTCAGGTCAGAGAGACATAGCTGAGATGCTGCTGGCCAAATGGCTTTTAACTGAGATAACATTTGTCAAATTGAGTCTTTTAACTTCCAAGATTTTTTTTTTTTTGTAAATGCACCTTATCCAACATCAGTGGATATAGGAAAGGCAACACTTTTCACTGGTGAGTTTTCGTAGGTTTCTATCCCAGCCTTTTAGCACTGATCCCTGCCATACCCAGTGTTGTAACCGCAGTGTAATCTGCGCAGGGCTAACCAATTTCAAAGCCCGTGAGCTCAGGACCCTGCATGGCCATGCCGCTGTACTTACATTGCAAGGAGCTGATGGTGTAGATACAGCCTGTTCATATCCAAAACATCTCCAGAGCTGGTGTGGTTGCAGGGCTTGACCAGGCTTCAGCCCCTTCCAGGTGGGAATGTATGTTGTAGCTTATGCTTCCATCTATCCCTTTCCCAAATCAAGGCAGACGAGAATACAGTTTATAGGAAAAAGCCTTTAGGTAAAGGTCAGACAGCTACAGGGCAGGAACAACAGCCGATCATGTTTTTTTTTTTTTCTTTTTTTTTTCCCTTTCCCCTGTTGCTAAGCGGAATGTAATCCGTGTTGCCAAAGCCCATCAGCTAAAGTTGTGATTTTGGGAAACAAAACAAATGAGCTGTGTCATACAGCTGCACAGTCTCCTCGAGGTGCAGATCTGTGGGCTGGGCAGAAACCAATGTGCTCGTTTTGCCATGCAAAAGTACCTACTGGTTCCTAGAGCTTGCACCTTGGCCCAGGATATTGGTGAGAAAGATGTAGGAGAGAGCCAGTGCTTTGAAACTGATCTTGATGAACCAGAAATGAGCTGCCAAAATTTAATGATGAAGATAATTAACTATTGGAACAAATCAACCTAGCGGATGTGCCTGGACCTTTATGAGCTGAAATCTTTAAGTCTAGATTGGATGCTGTTCAGAAGAAGGTGCTTTGGCTGAACTGCCAGTCCTTGGGCTTTGTACAGGAACACAGGTCAGACTAGCTCAAGGATGGACAACTTCTGTATGCTGCTCCTCATCTGATGTTCTGCCTCTGCCCTCCAGGCCACCACAGTGCGCTGTTTTTGCAATACTACGCCTCACAGAAGGGTCCTGGCATGGCTTGGTGGCTTCCCCATGACACATAGGCTGTACCCACCATACAGGTGGCGTGCTGACCAGTCAGCCTCCCCACCATTCATACCCAGCTCCTTTACGGTAATGGGTTGGTCATCTGAGAGTAAATGACCATCGTTATCCCTTCTGACCTCTGGCACCTTGGGAACCCCACAAAGAGAGGAAGACGAAACATTTTCATGCTGTCCTCCCAGGGGTTCCCAGAGATGGACATCTGGTAGCAGCATAAATGGTCATGGGGAAAGGGGCTTGTGATGAGCCCAGTCCATTTGTCAGGAACCTTCCCGTGTCTCTTGGCCGATGTCGACAGAAGTCACTCTCGTTGAAAAAGTGTCAGGAATGCAGCAGTGGCAACTCTGCTAACAGCGAGCAGCTGTTCTGGTGGTGCCCTCCAGAGATGTGGCTCCTGCAATCTGAGCTGCTCCCTTTTTCCACACACAAGTAGTTTCCCAAAATATTTATCATGGTTTTGATCTTTTCCTGAAACTGAATTTTCTTTTCTATGGCTGGAACAAAGTTGCTCTGGATTTGAAAAGACTTTTCACTCACCAGATGAGTGTGTATGCACGTAAAATGTTGGTATGTCTTTTCCTTTGGTTTGGTTAGAGACAAAGATATTGTTAAAAATTTAAATCTAAAAGTCTTATTTGAGCATTAATCTCTTACAATGGGTGTAATATGCCCACATAAATGTAATTACAAAGTATAATATTTTCATGAACTTGAATAGATTGCTAGAAGTTGTCAATTTACAATATAAAAACACTACATTTGTGTCTTAAAATATAATGAAGTACGATTAAAGCTTAATTTTTAACCTTTATTTTCCTACTTTTTTATTAAATATGTGGTTGCCTGCTTTTAATATTCCAGCAATAGTTTGTGTCACAGAAATAACAGTATCCTAACCATGAAAGCTGGAGTAACTCATGGCTGACTTGAGAACTTTCTTCACCATGTTTCACCTTCAGGAGACTGTCACCGTAAAATTGTTAGAAGCAGCCCCTCCAGGTTTCTGGGCAGTGTAGAAAAAGGCTAGTAATATCTGTTCTCTTCACACACACAGACCTGTTTCAGTGGAAAACCTGAGCTGCTGATGTATTTCCATAGAGATCAGCACAGACCCACGATAGTACTTCTCAAGGACTTACGTCTTCAGTTTTCTTAGCTGTTCTCTGCAACTCTCTAAACAAAAATATCTATGCTCCCAATTCAGAAAGGTCAGTGTCCTCAACCACAAATCTAATTAACAGCTTTCCCTTTGTACTGACTTTTTTTCTTTAGATAATTTTAACCCAATGTCCCACATGAGGAGCCTTTAGTCTCCACTCGAGGGAGCAGATGCTTACACGAGTGGCCCCAGGGAAGTGAAGCTCAGTAAGCGATCACCGGTGGGAGCCAGGGTTATACACGGCATTACACTGTGGAAAGCTTCCGATCTCCTCTTGCAGACAAAGTGTCTACAAAAACAATACTACTAGTTTCCTAAATTCCTGTGTTTTGCAGATGTGAAGCTCAATTTCTACAGGGGAAGCCAGGCTGTTTTGGGGGAGCTCATAGCACTCAGGTTTTTTGCTGCTGCTGCTAATTTTTGTGAGCACCATAGAATACAGTAGAAAATTGAAACTGTGTGAAAGATCAACAAATCAGTGTAGAATGTCACGCAGCAACATCTGTTAACTTTGGCTCTATCTCATATCCTCCTGACCCCTCCTTTCCAGCCACAAGTCTCCTGTTTTGTGAGAGCTCAGAGTGATAGGGACTTGGAGGGGAAGGAAAACTGTCTAGCTGTTTCTCAGTGGTCTGAAGGGCTTGCAAAAGTACCATCTGGAATGGAAGCCTTATGTTTGTGTGTTTCGATATTTTTAGTTATGAAACAAATGGGAATTTGCTGAATGAATTAATTGTATTGCGCTGTAAAAGTCTATCTTGAGAGCCATTAGATATGGGATATTACAAAGCCTGCAGAGAGAAATGAAAGCGGCTTCCCTTTCTAATTAGGGCTTTCAGGAAATCATTGATTACAGAATCAGATAGGGTTGCTCGGAGACATTTGTTTAATATTACTTCTGATAAACGAAATTTTTACCTAATAATAATTTTACTAGTGACACTGGAAGCAACTGCACTCTCTGACGGTAAACCTGCCGTCAATAAAACTTTCCCCTTTCCTTCCTACCTTGTCCAAACGGTTATAGCTGATGAAACGTTGCTTTGAAACACTAGACCTCAGTGAAAAATTTAAAACATTAAAAAACTAGTTGCATAATAGACAATATGTTTTTAATGGGATGGTCTTTGTCCAGACCAGCTTAATGCTAAAAACTTGTTCCTGCATTGCATTTTTAAAAAGTCAAAACAAAACCTTGACCTGCTATGTAGAAATTTTTTACTTTTTTTTTTTTTTTTTTTTTTAACAGGGTCAGCATATTTCATTAGCTCCGATTCAAATGGTAGAGGAAGCTTTGTATGAGTATCAGCCTCTGCAAGTGGAGACATATGGACCACAAGTTCCAGAGCTTGAAATGCTGGGAAGGCTGGGGTAAGTAACGCTGCAAGTTTTAATTCCCATTTCATGGTATTTTAGCTGGGACTTTTACCATCTTCACTTTGCCAGCATGTAGGGTTTTAATTTTTTTTTTTTTTTTAAGGATCTTAACGAAATATTAGACTTCCTGCCCAACCAACATTTTGTTTGGGTGGATAAGCTGAAATTTTTGGTTCTCTAGCCTTTATAGATCTATTGAGAGCTGGACTGGATTGCATTAGTGTTTTTAAGGTTGTCCTTGGCAGTTGTAGTGAAGTAGCTGTTCATTTTCAGTTGCACGGTATTAAAAAATAAATAAATAAAAATCTGGGGCTTAATTTACCCAGCTGTAAGCCAGTAAAAATATTAAAGTTGGGCTGTTTGCCATGGAAAAGGGTAGATTTACTTGTCGACTGCTGTCTACAGTCAAACTGCGTTTGTGAGAAATGAAGCACAAAGCTTAACTTTGTGAAAAAAAATATAATGCAGGGCTGGTCCAGCAGCTTGGCGGCATCGTGGTGTGCAGCCATGTTTGGAAGGGAGTTTGGGAGCCTGCTGTGCCTGGGTAATGGAGGCTGGGAAGTCCAAAAGTGACGTGTCTGCTCTCTAGAGAAGCGTTCATAGCTGAAACACTGCCTGAAAATGTGTAGCTACTGGGATAGCAAGTGTCACCCAACTTGTCATGGCCTAACTTTGAAGGTCAACAGCACTTACAGTGCCTGGAAAAACTACGTGGCAGAATGAATGTGCAGACTGGCAAGGCAAGAAAGAGTTTAAAAAATAACAGTTTGTGTTTGGCTGTGCGATATGGGAAAACTGAAAGCACAAAGTACTGAACAAAGTTGAGACAATTTAGTATGCAGTTTCAGAGACCGCTGAAATCCAAACAGGAATCCCATAGAGTTCACTGGCACAGGAGAAATTGTATCTCATCCAGAAAACAGTAGAGGTAGATGGACTTCTGTAAGGAAATAAGCAGCCTAATGGTGCTTCAGAAAACTCAAGGATGTCTGGAATTGAAGTTGTCTCCATTTTTATTGTTTTTGTGTCCTCCTGATACCTGTAATTTTTATTATCTGATATCAAGCTTCTGAGACCAAATGTTAATTAGCAGTTTAAGCTTGGGCAGAGCCAGATTCAGCCTTCGCCACCTGTTTGGAAGGAGCACAGCTGTGAGGGACCTCCAGTGTGAGGGAAGCTTGGGGGCCCTCTCAGCCCTGAGCCTCATAGCAAACTAAAATGTTTGGGGAAAAAAAAAAGATGTTGTGTGTAGGGAGGACTCCCAGTCCCCGTCCCTTCGCATGTGCCCCCACAAGGTGAGTACTGGTGTCCAGATCCAGCAGGAACCATCCAGCCCATCTAACCACTCGTGACACTGCTTTAAAGGCATCCCAACACGTTGCAAAACAAAATCCTTCAAATACTGCAGTTGCGTTGCAATGCCTGTGCGCGAGCGTGTTTGGGACAGGGTTTGCAAACAATGATTGCAGTCTTTTCTTGGAGACACTTTGATGCACGTGTCATTCTACTCCTCGGAGCATGAACGTCCAGGATGGTTCAGCTGGGCTCTGGAGGTGCTGAAGGAGTTAGGAGCAGCGGGGTTGCTGGGTGGCTGTAACAGCAAGGGGAGGCGCGTGGGTGGGTTGGTGGTGCCCACCAGAAGAGTTCTCCTGAGGCTGTTGGCAATTCCAAAACAAATATATTGGTGCTGTGCCTTCCCAGCCGGTACAACTCTAACCCTATTCTGTGGGGTGTCTGAAATACCTTAAACCACGCAAAGCTCTTGGTTTATATATTTGTGTTTCTGTGTTTATATGAACTCAAGCATATTTCCTGTTGATGATGAATGCTTAACTAATGTGCCTCCGTTCTTCCTTTGGGTTTTTTCAGGCAGCTGCACACAGCTGACTGGGTGAGGCAGAAGAGCTTAGGCGCAATGTTACCCACTCCTGCTAAAGATTTTTAGTTTCTTCCTCATTTGGACTCATATAAGGACAGGTTATATGTAAATTTATATAATTTTTTTCCTCCCTCTTTTCATGTTCTTGTTAATAATTTTGCAGTCTGGCTATTTAGTGCTGGTCAATAGTTCCCTTAAATGTACAGGCTGTTATAATCTGAGTTCCTGGTGCCAGAATTATTGCAAAGACGCTGCCAACCTGGAGACTTTGAATTCACTTCTGGTAGAATAATTTATTGACTTTTTTAAAAAAGATACAGTTTATTATCTTCAAAACACTCAGAATGGCCTTTTGAATATTCACATCTTAACCTCTTACCTCCTGCAATGCTCACTTTAGGTTTCAGCATCTGTGTTGCTTTTCTTTCTTGGTAAGCTGCTGTAATGAAGGAGACAGCTGGCAAGAAGGTTTCTAGCAAAGAGCAAGAAAAAGGGTAAAGCCTTAAGGGATCATTTAGAACATTTGTAAGGGATCTTTTATAATTAAAAAAAAATTGCTTTTTGAGATGACTTGTATTATTAGCTCATTATTATTAGCTCATTTACAAAAAACATTGCATGTCGTCCCATGAACTTGATTCTGCATCCTCCCACTTCTCTTCTATATGGATTTTGCATGTTTTGCAAAAAAGGAAATTTATGTTCAGACTGTTTTTTAGAAATTTGTTTTCAGTTTCTCTTGGGGCTGTAAATTTTCTTTTTTCTGTGTACTGCAGAAAAGCATTGACATCCTTATGATGCAATTTTGCTATTGTGTTGGAAGTCTGAGAATAATGAAGAAATAGCTTTTTTTTTTTCTTTCTTTCTTTCCTTCAGCACAAATGATTGGTATAATGTGTAGGGGTTTGTGTCCTACAGGGGGGCTGCCTCAATTTTTTATAATGGAGGAAAATTTTCTGGAAGTAATGAAATATAGGCAATAATCCTGAACTACGTGGCTTTTTGGGAGCAATGTGTACTTCACGAACTTGTAGACAGTATTTAACCTTCTGGCAGAGGGAGTGAAGCTTCCTCACAGCCAGCCTCTGATAGTCATTCCCTTGACTACACGTCCATGGGGTTCCTAGAAGGGAGTCTCAGGGGCTGGTAGTCCCATGAATACACACTGAACATGCCAGGTAGGTGGCAGAGGTCACTTTGGGTGTTCAGCCTGTGAGGCCACCTCATGTCTGTCTTGGCTATCAAATGGAAATGTGACTTGGAAGGAAGTAGGGGAGAAGACGTGTAGTTCCAAACCTCTGGTGATGTCCTTGGAGAAAAGCGGGGTCTTGGGGACTCACTGCTGATGGGAGTCATGTTTGGAGAGCCCTGTCTTATCAAAGGTCCTACTAGTACTTCCATGGTCACCAGAAACTGTTGCGTTGGTGGAGTTTGAGTAAAGTGGGGGTATCATCTTTTGGTTCAAAGCAGTCCAAATCTGTTGAACTGCCCAAGTCAGTGCAAGGCTGTGTGACCTACTGTGGCTTTTGGGTAGAGGAGGCATGTGGTTGAGAGAGCGAGCATGAGTGCCTGGATGCTCAGGAACTCACTGCCATTACTTTACTTTGAGGTTTTCTTAGAGGGGTAAAAAAGGTTTGTCTTTTTTTTTTTTTTTTTCTTCTAATGTTTTAGCTGAGCACACTGAATTTGTGTGGTTGGAGGTCTGGACTTTTCTTACTGCAAAACAAAAGAAATGAAAAATATAACAAACTCTGACATGCCAAGTAGTGAATGACCAAAACAGGATGGGGATGGAAATTAGATTGCTTTAAAAATGTATGTTTGTTATGTACTTTTGATTTAAAAAAAAAAACCAACAAAAAACCAAAAAAAATCTCAAGGATCAAAATGATGTTTGTTTGAGGTCCTGAAAAATGTAAAGACATTCTTGGCATTAATTTTATGTATGTACAGCTAGCAAGAGTGGCCACACAGCATTCTCCCATCAAGTATTTACAGCTGTGGAAGAGCCATACACAAACTACTTAAAAACTGCCTGTTAATCAAAAATCTGCTTATGTGATTAACATTTTGGGTAAAGATGTGTGAACTTCATGTCTCAAACTTCAGAAAGGGTCTCTTGTAATCCAAAGTGGATCGTACTCTTAGCACAGCGCCAGTCCTATTCTTGCCATTTTCACAGAATGGAGGTAATGTACAAGTAAGATTAAAAATTCCTGTTTGCGCTCCACTTAAAAATTCTCTCCCTTAACAGAGAACTTTTGTGCAGACCTTGTAATCAAGTCAAGCCTGGTCTGCTTAAAATAAAATTGTGTTTGCCTACTTAACTTTGTCTGGAGAGATACATCCTGAATATATACATGTGTACAGAAAAAATTGTTTGCTACAAAAATTTTTGCTTTTCTTCATCAGAAAGAAAAATGTGACTTTTCTTTGATCTGTCAACTTGTTTTCCTGTATAACCACATTGTTAGCAGCACTCCAGTTAGTGTTCTGTTTGAATGTGGTACAAAAATACAGTTCAGTGGTGAACACTAATGAGGATAGGTAATATACTTTGATAGTTTAAAAGTCACATCTAAGCAAAACGTCATTTTAAGAGTTGGGGGTAAGTACTGAAGCAAAATCCGAGTGCTGTGGAAGTCTGTACATACAGCGAACGTGCTTAGCTCACGGTACTTTTCATAATGAACAACTGGATTGCTTCGTTCCTTTTTTTTTCCCAGTGTAGGAGAGCTTAGTCATTTAGAATTTTGAATTAAGATGAGGAGGTTGGGTTTCATATCTGGTAGAGCTTTGTTAACATTTAATTTTTAACCTTCATTTCAAGTGGAAAATTTCTGCATATTTCTTTGTTGTACAGTGTTGTGGTGTAATTTGAAACACATGTAGAGTTCTGGCACTTAATCTAGAAATGACTCGTGTAACTTCTTTGCTGTCAATCATAGTGATTTTTTTTTTTTTTTAAAGTGAGGCAATAGTAAGGATGCTCTCCAAACTGTTCTTAAACCGTAGTTGATCTGGTCTTTGGCCGGATTAGTTTTTGCTAAAACCCTGTTGGTGTCTATGTTGGGTTCAAGACAGTGAAATAAGTGAGAATTGATTTTTGAAGGGG